TAACGAAGAGGATTTGTGTCCTACACGCCAAGGGATTGAACTCACGAGATCTAATCGTGGAGATCTATAAGAGTTCCGAGTGGAGATCGGACCAGTCATGCGAGACCGATGCTTTAATCCTCTACTAGCAGAATCTATTGTTTGGATTTGTATGATGATCGCATCCGAGCTTCGCTGCATACCTGGTATTTATGATTGCAAGCCATGAGTCAATTTCAAATGGACGTTTATGATGCTATCAGTAAATTGTAATGTAGTCTACATAAATTTTCAAGCATAACGTGTGTGAACTCTGACAAAAAAGAACGAGGTTAAAAAAAAAAGATATTATGCATAGTCATTTATGCAACTTTTTTATTCAATGAACGCTCGTGTGATTGAACGGAGCTGTGCTTCTTGTATTTAACAAGATTGACTTTATTGCTTTTCGGGAGAAACGTTTGATATAAATTTATACATGATTATTATTGCATTTTTACCTATTATATTTTTGTCAAATTCAACAAAACTGCAATGATACATCGAGAAATATTTGTCGGCAATTCTTTAATAATGGTACGTTTTGATCGTTGAACAAAAAGGAAGGAAAAGGGGCCCTGTTTCTATTGTACAATAAAAGTTGATGGATAGAAATGTTTTTTTTTCGTACAACGTTCGCTTTTGCCGTACAACCTCGCTTTTGTCGTATGATGAAAATGCACAAATATAATCCCCTTAGGTTACATTCCGTTCCATGCATTAGCATTCTAGGAATTACTTCATTCTTGTTGTTTATCAAATATTAAACAGGGATAAATGGTGCACACACGTTGTGAGTGCCAAATAGAATGTAGCTCTAATGTACACTGTATACTTACACTCGAGCTAAACCTCAAGTCGAACCTAAAGACAAGCTTTGAGCCGAATTCTTCACATGTGCGATCGAGATTCCATTCGAATGTGGACGCAGAAAATAGTTTCATTGTTCGCGAAAATCGCGGGCATTCAACATTCCCTCTTTTCCGTATAAATCGAGAAATCTGATGAGAAATTTCGGACATTATGCATCGTTATGACTAATAGTTCGTCCGCGTATAACGCACAACGCGTCTCGTCGAGACGCGGATGCGGAAATGAAAAAGGAAGACGAACCTTGGCCGAACAGAAGAGGACGCGGAAGAGTAACTGGTCGACGTAAATCCGCGCTTTTTCCGAACACGTGCGACTTTGACAACAAACTTGCGGAGAGTTTTCGACGGCGCACAGTGACGTATCCCGGCTCGGCGGTTCCCTGGGAGAGCACGCTCCGTGTGAATTACGAACAACGGGAAAGAGAAAAATATTTTTCTCCACAGGGTACTTCTTTCAAAGAAAAATGGTGTTTTTAAGTGCCGTTTTCGCCGATTTTATGTTCCCCGTCGTGAGTTCAAAGCAGCAGGTTGAAAAGGCTCAGTTACTTGATTCTACTGTGTAACGTTAGCACTCCTATTCATGTTCATAACGCTCATAAGCATCACTTGTTTTTGTTTAACATTTAATAAAAATAACAAGAATAAAATGATTCTTAAACGTTATGAGCGTGAATCGAACTGCGGCCTAGAATTCGTTGTTTATTCGCATCTTATTGTTATTTGTAGTTTATGTGCCTATCTCGTTTATTATAATCGTAGCTTGTTGTGTGCCTACCTCAATCTTCTACGAGAGGGACTGTTTACGATCGCAAGGATGCTTGGTAATTAATTATCTGATGGTATAGAGGGAACAATTTTATTAATTACTCATTTAGTGCCGATAGTGTCAGTGATTCTGACGGTAGATGATGGACAACGCAGGGCGTAGGTGAAATTCCTCTACTCTCTGTTCTGATACCACGATTCTATTTTCCGAGATTTTCGAAGTCGCGCGATACCTACTGTCGAGATATTCGTTTCACGTAGAAGCTCTTTCGAACGCAAATTGAGCGGGAGAAGTCTCCTATTTCACATGCGGTGTGCTTGCGTTTTCTTCACCCCGTGCGATTTTATTATTTTTATCGCTATTGTATTATCGTAAGCGTAATTGCGACCGAAGTGATTTATCGAGCGTGTATCCGTAAGTGGGTTTTTCACTGGATGCAGTTTATAATCGAAGCTGTCGCATATGTGCGAATGACGTGATGTTGAAGAGGTGTACGCTCGTTCCAGGTCACGTCGTGCGCCTACGCACGTGTGCCGCCTTTTGCATTAATTACGTTTTAATTATAAAATAAACGCACGAACGCTACGTCATTCGTTTCAATTCGTGTCGCGTACAGACAACTAGAGAAACGTATAGAAACTCAAGGGCCATTCGTTCCGTTAGAATTGCGTGCAAAACATACTTACCTATATGTTAAATAGTGTATTTTATTGACGTAGAGGGGCGAGAGAGAGAGAGAGAGAGAGAGAGAGAGAGAGAGAGAGAGAGGGCAGAAGGATGGGAGTCATCGCACCAACTAATTAAAAATGAATTTGCAATTTTGTTAAGTACAGTTCACATTATGGGCACCTCATCGACCTACTTTGAAGTTGTATATTTATATAAAAGCATTACGATTAAAGAAAAGAAACAAAAGTCTTGCTCGTGTCTGTCTAACGTGCCTCCTCGACAAGTTTACAAATCGTTGCAATTTAATGGATGATTGATAGAGATGGGTTACTCTCGTGGATTAGTGTCTTCTAGCAACTCTCCAAGAATTAGACGGATACATTGTCAGTCAGCGATCAGACATGAAGAACATGGATAAACTTGATTAATCTTCTAAATAACTCGTACAATTTATTAATTGTTCTTATTCGTTTAGAAGTTACAATCGGATGATTACGATTGACATTTTTGGTATCGCGAGGTGTTCTCTTATGTTTTTATGTGTATCGCTATTTGAAAAGCTCCTCTCCAACACATTTAATATTGGGCAACGCCATAGAAAGCATGGAAATTAATTGTATGCTTCAATCGTCAGATACTATTTCCGAGAACGTGGTACACACTCCTAATAGCACAATTCGGCGCAATATTGCCCCAACATATCCCCAATGTATGCCAACGTTTAACCAATGTTTCGCCAATGAATTGTACTGCTCGGGACGTTTAATTATTTCTCTAGTTTAATTATTCTCCGAATATGCGATAATTATGGAATCACACTTCGTGCGATTTATCCGTTAAATATTTAGCAACGTTAGTACTCGTTTCGATAGTCAGATGTGTTTAGCTATACTAAAAAAAAAGAGTAATATGGCTACCAAATGTTTAATAAAATAATTTCAATCAAATGTTAAATTAATATAAAAATAATTTTACTTATCGAAATATTTAGTAAGTATTACCAACTATGTAATAATATAATCAGCATTTAGTTTAATAATTACTGAATATTTATAAAAAAGTAAAATTATTTTTGGTTATATTAACAGAATTATTTGATTGAAATTATTTCATCCAACATTTGGTAACTATTACCAGACTCTTTTTTTAGTATATTAATAATTTTTCGTTTGGTAAAAAAAAAAGAGCGGATCATCAATGCTAGGATCATCATGACCTGTTACCTGTTCGTTCCTTACCTGAAAGATGGGTATCTGTTAGATTCTGACATGAACGAGACATTATTCCTACAACAAATCGCTTTTTAATGTTCTAGCTTGTCTTATATTTTGTATAATTTTTCTTTAAAAAAAGAAAAAATAACAAAAAAAAATTTACATATTTATGAAAACCGAGATAGATTTTCAATATGATGTCACAATCGACTAAACAATAATAAGTGGGGATGAATCGATATGTTCCATTTAAATTTATCATCTATTGTTTATTTATAACTGAAAATGACGTTTTATTTTATTTTTAATTATTACCGTACACATCACTGTGCTTCAGTGATCGAATTCATAAAGACGCTTATGCAGAGTAAAGAGATTTAAATTCCCATATCTATGAAAACTACCAACCAAAATAATTAATTACATCAGTGATATCAGATTGTAGACGTTTACAAGTTTACTGTATGTGCATATGGGAAGAATACGTTGTCAGCAGACACCAAAACGATCTCACCTATGTTCGTCATATCTTGATGTGTGTGCTAGCGTATTTCCTGTAAACGTGTTGTTATATTTGTCGCATCAATTGTTTACAGTAATATATGTGGAAAACAAAATGGCCGATTTCACGCCACATGAGCAATAAAAAGTCTCTAATGAATTAAAATGTTAATTTTACCCCGATTTATTATAATTGGACTTGTGGGATATGGCCATGAAATATCTAAACAGAAAAGTAACGCAAGTGGAAAAATTCAATTCCAGATTAAAATTGACACACGATAATCAACAGCATCCGTACGCAATACGTTGACTTTCATCTCGAACACGTAAACACTAGTTAATAATTGCCCGGCTTATTATTATAACGTGCGCGAGCGTACGTCTGTAGATCCTCCGAAACTTCGAAACGGCGGGAAAAGAACACGTTACTTGGAAACAAGTTCCTTCGAAGAAACGATCTTATACCTGACGCTTATACCTAATACCGATGAATTGTTATACTTGAGTGACTTCCTTTTTACGCCTTATTCTCCTCTTTACTTCATCAGCTCTTCAGTCCTTTATAAAGTTATGCTAAATTCGGACCTAGATCTCAGATGAAGAAAGAATAGCTAATCGCATTGGTCATGTAACCGAATTATTCAAATGTGGTTTATTAATAATTCTTTCTCTGTCCGAGATTTCGGACCGATTTCTAGCATCGTGGACACAAGGTTTAAAAGAAAAGAGTTTTAACCGATTCCTTCGCATTTTCAAATTCCAGAGTAGCGGCAAGGCGTCAAAGAAGAAGAGAAACGAAAAGATAGTTGGCGCTATAATACATACGTGATAACGTGTGCGTGTGAATGGAAAAAATAGACTTACGCAGGACCACAAAGACGCACGAGAGAGAACGGAGCGGGACAAGGTGGCGGCTCTGCTAATTCATCAACTTCCGGCGGTAGCGGCGGAAGAAAAATGTCGAGCGTCGGGGACAGTCCTGACAGAATGGCTCTGCAATCGCACTACTCCTTACGATGGCACAACCATCTCACCCACATACAACGGGCGTTCGAGGAGTTGTTGCAAGCGGAGATGCTCGTCGACGTGACCCTGATTTGCGCTGACAGCAGCGTCAAGGCACACAAAGTTGTCCTCAGCGCCTGCAGGTAAGTAAGCCTTAAAAGTACAGTTTCTTTGCTAAATTTTTCCAATGCTGAATCTTATTCTAATCTTTGGTTCCTTTTTATTTTCAACACGATGTCATTGACTAAACAATAATAAGTGAAAATGAATTTATACGTTTTCCATTTCAATTTATTGGCTATTGTTTATTCACAAAAATGTCTGAAAATATTCTTATTATTTTATTTTTTATTATTGCGATATAATTATCACCACGTGCCTCAGTGGTCGAATTAGTAAAGACGCTCGTCTCTGTTAGTAAAAAGGTTTCGAGTTCGAATTTTAGTTTGAATGAAATTTTTCACAATAATTTCTTTGCAAGATACTTATGAGCATTATTATTAAATTGGCGATAAATTTAATTTATTCTGATATTATAATATTTCCAGCTTCAATTAATGCGAACCAAATTCGATTTATACGTATTTATAGATAAAGAACTGAAAAAATATATTCAAAATTTAATATTATTATTATTATGTTTAATATATTATTTTCTATTATTTATTAATATTTTAGGTTCTAAATTTTTTACCAAATAAGGCTCTTTTCCCTTATTTGTGACGATCAAAATTTTTATTTTTAGTGGATGAATCAAATTAAAGAGAAATTATTGGTTTAGCATTTAAAACAATTATTTTTATGTTTGCTGCAGTTCTGCAAAATGAAACATTCATGTGTTGTTTTTGTTATTTATAAAACAAAAAAAAAATATTTTTATGCAATAAAGTAGAGTACAAATCAAGGGTTTCGTGACTATTCGGGGATCGTTTTATATTTCTATGTTTTCTTATGTATTTTTCTTTGTAGAAATAATTATAATACCAGACTTAAGGAAAAATTAGTACACATCGAAAATGAATAAAATCCTCATTCGCATTATAAAATCATTGTCATTATTATGTTTTAATAATTTATTTATGAAATTAATTCCAAATTGGATCAAATGCGAATAATATTGCACTACAAAACGTTAATTAGATTATCTTTTTCATTATAATATTTGTCATATCGGAACCGTGCGATGCGCAACGCTTGAAGTGCGGCGGAACCGTACCAAGATGATAAATGTTATAATGAAAAATATAATCTAATTTACTTAGTTTTATTTAATTTTTACTTAGTTTTGTGGTGCAATATTATTCGCATTTGATCTAATTTGGAATTAATTTTATAAATAAATTATTGAAACATAACTGACAGTGATTTTATATAATGATGCAAATGAGGATTTTGTCCATTTTATTTTGATGTACTAATTTTTCCTGAAGTCTGGCGTTATTATAATAATTATTTTCGGTTTCTACGAAGAAAAATATATAAGAAAACATAGAAATAAAATTATCCTTGAGTAGTCACGAAATCCTTGAAAATTTGTATCCTCCTTTATGAGACCAATAATGATACACTGTACTCACGTTGTTGTAAGTAAAATTCCTCCTCTCGATAACTAAAAAAAGGAATGCTTGCAGAATAAGAAATATTAATCCGACGGCAAAGGTTTAAAGCTTTCTAAACTCTCTCATCGCCTTTGCCCATGTATCTACTGACAATAACTTCCTACACTGCTTGCCTTTCTAGCGGTTCCTCGATTAAAAATAATCGGTCGAGTTTTATTGATCAGCGGAAGTGTATAGTGTATCTTAAAGAAGCGACGCGCATTGAAAACCGAGAGTGGTTCTTGCACTCGGCAGGTCTCTCTTATCCGAAGAAAAATTTCTTCGTCGCTTCTTACCTTCGTGGTTTACCGGACAACTAAGTGCCGCTTCGTACCGTCTATACGTTACCACAACGCTCTTCTCGCTTCACGCGAGACGTGTGACGTAAAGTTGACAACGAGCGAAAGTCTTGTACCATCTGATTGATTCGCCGTCGCTCGATCAGGGAAGGAGCGCTAATCCTTGCGGTGACTTTTTGTCCGCGGTTTCTGGCCATCGTTCTATCTTACTGAGCGAAGACATGCAACGTTTCACGCCTGGGACGCATGTAACGTTGCAAATATCGCGGTGCAAAATTTTCCGCGATTGTGTCGCAACGTACTTAGCGCAAATACATGGTGGATAAACCAAAATGGAAAAACGCTTTTTTTTGCTTCTTTTTTGGATTCCCAAATTTTAAAAGAGAATGATCGTAATCGTTTGGAGTCGTTTTCCCTATGTTACAGTCCTTTCTTCGAGAGGATATTCGCTGAAAATCCGTGCAAGCACCCCGTGATCGTGCTGAAGGACTTCTCGCATCATGAATTGTCCACTTTGGTGCACTTTATATATCGTGGCGAGGTGCAAATCGCCCAGGAGGAGTTACCGGGGCTGATGAAGGCCGCAGAGTGTCTGCAGGTGCGTGGGTTGTCGTCATCGGAGCCGAGGCCGGTGTCGACGGAACCCAGGCCGTTGTCGTTGGCGTCAACGCCGACGCGCGATCTTATTCTGGCTGGATCACCAACACCAGAAGTCGCGCGACACGGCACACCGGAAGATGATGAAAACGCGTTGGAGAGCACAACGGAGATGAAACCTATCCTGCTTCCACCAACGAGGGACCATCAGGCCAAGTCGCACATTGGCCACATGAACTTTGGCATCCGCGAGAGTTGCGGCTCGCCGTCAATGCCACGTCGGAAACAGGCGCGTCCGCGCCGACGATCCGGCGAATTGCTACCGCAAGATCTGAGCAGACGCTTGACCCCACCGGTCAGCTCGAGTCCATTGACGAGCGTTCTTAATCTCAGTGGTCAGCACCAGGCGCAACAGCAGCAGCAGCAGCAGCAGCAGCAGCTATTGCTGCAGCAATCTCAATATCATCAACAACAATCGATTAACAACGTACAGAACCAGCAGCAGCAGCAGCAGCAGCAGCAAGAAGATATGGCGGAGAATCTCTCGATGAAGAAACCTATATCGCCGATCGGATTAGATCATCATCATGTGAAGACGGAGGGCAGTGAAGCGACGAGCAGTCCTCGCGGCTCGCCGCTCACAGGAACGAGTCTACTACATCATCCCGATCCTGTATCAGACATCCCGGCGGCCGTAGCAGCAGCTGTAGCGGCAACTGTAGCATTGTCGCTACCCACAATGCCGACGTTGTCGCTGTCGCAACCGCATCCTCCCGAGTACCTGACAAGCCTCAGCCAATGGCTGCCCGGGCCTCCTCAAAGTCAACTGCCGCCGCCGCCGCCGCCGGCTCAAAGTCACCATCCACGCGAGGACAGTCCGCATGGTTCCAGCAGATCTCATCCGTATCAACAACAGCAGCAACAAGAATCAGCTTTACCGCGACGTAGCGCTATGGCGATGTTCACACCGGCATTAGACGGCGTGACAGCTCTAGGCGGCGGACTTTTCTCGCACCATGCCACCACGTATGACCGGGGCATCCTCGCGGATTCGCTGCTTACGGATAATTTCAAGCCAGAAGCGCTGCAAAATCTCTTTGGTACTCCCAGTCTCGGCCCTCCGCCCGCTAAAAAGGCAAAAAAGCATCGTAATGATGGTGACGCGCCACGTAGATGGACCGATCACAACACTCGAGCTCTTGCAGTTAATAGGCCCAAAGGGCAACACAGCGCTCCGCGAGGAGGGCCACCACGGTCCTGGACGAATAACGAACTTACATTGGCTCTGCAACATGTTTGGGAAAAAAAGCTGACCACGTCGCAGGCTAGTCGTATGTTTGGTATTCCCTATAATAGCTTGCTGATGTACGTGCGTGGTAAATACGGGAAGAGTCTAAAGCTTGAGCAATTACGTAGGACTTGTACCGGCACCAATAACTCTGAAATCATGAATAACAATAACATCAAGCCCGTCCAGCAGTCCGCGCAGATGAGCCACGGGCTCACCGGTCTGCCGCTGCAGCATCCGGGGGACAACAGCGGCTATCCCCATCGCGGTCTACTCGGCGGCAACATGCCGCAGCCGCAGGGCTA